TCATCACCCTCCAGAACTCGATTTCGTTCCTATGAGTCCTATCACCTAATACTTGAAATTATACAGGAACCAAGCCGACTCGCCCTATGCTCATATGTTTACCTTCTTGCTTGAGAGGGTGATCAGTCCTGCCTGAGCTCAGGCGTACATCTTCTTGCGAGGGACCCAGTTCGGTTTAGCCTATACTCATGAGTATCAACGAATTGCTTCGTACTTAACAGCAAACAAGACCTCAACAGGTCGTTCGGTGTATTGTCAGCGTACTCCGACTACCCCACCATCAAGGTGGTCACGTGACGCCAAGTTTCAGTCTCGTGACCGAGTCACACTGATAACTTGCTCACGATTTCATCACTGACCGTGTGTCTCCATCCAAGACCACAACACGGTACCACATACATAAAGCATGACACCATCAAGCTCACATTCTCATGATATCGACTCCATGAGTCGAACGCAACCCTTATGCACAAACATAAGGCTTGACCCAAAGCAACACGACATTCCCAATTTGCCGACTCGAGAAACTCTCAAGTAAAGCATAGGGATTCATCGACTACACTCCTTAATCAGAAATCATCGATTAAGGATTTATACACATTTTAGTGGAACTTGGGGCTCTCGGTTCAAGGTTCGGTGTAACATAAATAGCTTGGCAAAAACTAGTCGATCAACGAAATGAATCGAAGGTTCGGGGCTAGTGTGCTGTATCCCAAGAGGCGGCACGCTCGCTGGCGCTGCATAAGCGGGGCACTGGGACGCATGCGAGTCGACGGTTAGCTGCGCGCTAGCCTCACGTCTCTCAGCACGGTCGTGCGTGCTCAGCCACCACTTCGCGTGGCTAAACCCTGCCAGGGTCGGGGTTTGGTCCAGGTTTCCACAAGAAATTACAATTCAAGGCTACCAAAAGGAATGGTTTTACCAAATTTGGAAAATTTTGGGGTCAACGAAACAACATATATTTCAGGCGTTCCTCAATTTCAAAAGTTTCAAAAAGTCTCAAAAATAGCAAGGTGCAAGTTCGAGTTCCAAGTCCACCAACTTCCTAAAACAACATAACGCGATACGGCATAGATCTAACGATACGCGAAATCTCAAAAGAACTCTCATGGCGATTCTCTCAGCGGCGTCTGCCGAGCCATTAAATAGATAGCTCGCCTCGGCTCTTCCGACTAACAGCGTCGGCCGACACGTCAGCTCTTCATCGGGTAGCTAATCGTGTCAGCAGTCCTAAACGAGTGCAACTCACTTCCCAATCTTCACACTTAGGAATTTGAATGCGAAGTTCCTCCCGGGATTCCAAAAGGAGGAAAAGAACAAAAATTTTTACGATGAACAAGATTTAGAATAAGGACGGGTCTGCACTACGCGATGTGCTTGTTTCTGACTCGTCTATCCTCCTTAAAAGGCTTCTTCATAATCTTTAAAGGTAGAAAAACACTCCATGTTCTTATCGAACCGAATTGTGCTGGCTTCAGCTTCTGTGCGTTTATCTCGATGCCGAGCGTGAATAATTATTGTCCCCCTCGAGGTTAGGTTATTCACAAAAACGGCGATAGAAAAATTTTGCCCTCGAGTCTTCGTGATATTTTAGCGATGGCATTCGAACGAAACTCTCATACTTCGCAAGAGGATAAAGATAAGCAAAAACAAAGAGATGCTTAATCTCATTTGAAATCAGGTTTTTCAAAACAAAGTCAATTCCCAACATAAAATAAACCAGAATTAGCTAAACTTCAAGAGATGCAAATTTTAAAGTTGGGAATCATAAAATAGTTTACTCAGCGAATCAAAAGTAGGGGAAGATCAAGCGAAATCCTCAAAATACGAAAATTGGATAATAAAAAGAAGCCTCCATCACACTTCAAAATTGTTTGCCATGTGAATGGGAAAAAGGTTTGCAAGAGTACACAAGAAGACAAGAATTTAAAAAAGGAAGCACAATTGCTTCGCCTTCACGAGTCCACGATTCACTGTTTTCATCATCGGTTCAAGTTGTTCCTGATAAGTCCCGCTGTCGCTAGGAAATCGCTCACGACGCAAAATACGGAAAAGAATTTTTGCAAAAGAATATACAATTCTCGCCCTCCTCGAGGCTTAGCCACCCTCGAGGGTGCGACAGTGTAACATATTAAGTTCGCTCACCACTCATCTAGAGTTCCAGAACGTTTAAAAGTAGAAGGATAAATTCCTAAGTCCCGGTTTACATCTCATAATATCATAAAATTTCACATAAGCAATTTAATATTACTCAAGTATTCATACCTGAGTTGGCGCGGCACGACGGAAGCGAGTGGTCAAATACTGCATCATTTTATGCAAGTATTTCACAGAGTTTACATTATTCACACATACCAGTCTACAGAAACGCAGACTGACTCTGATACCAAACTGTAACGCCCCACTTTTATTTGCCGAAAGTCAGAATAAATTTTTCAAAATTTAATTCAAACATTTAAGGCATTACTCATTTATTTCAAAATCATTTCAACATTTACCAATCATCAAACTCCCAAACAGGGATCCCTAAATTTTATCAATCACCCAAACAGGGTTCCAACCATTATCATGGTACTTAAGGAGCATTCTCCTTAATATTTTTCCAATCATCAATAATATCCAAAATCCCTTAAATCCATAAATCATAAGTTCCATAATATCCCAAGTTCATAAATCATGATATAAGTCATAAAATTCATAAGTGGTACAAACAGCGGAAGCATAATAATAATTAACCAGTCTTATGGACCGACCACCACTCGCTCTACTCCGCCGTCGTACCTGCCTTGCTTAACTTGAAACATTAATTTCAGGTGGGGATGAGCACAGTTGGAAAAAGTAGTGCTCACCACTATGCAATAAACATTTACATAACAAAACAGTAACAGAGATAGCATGATCACAACATGTACAAGAATCAATTAAGTATCCCAAGTTTCAACATAAATTCACAGTGTTCAGACTTATGTGCACATCTATACCAATAGACTACTGCTGGTCCACGTATCGTATGCTTGCTTAGGGCTTACGTATCGTATGCCTGCTTAGGCCTTACGGATCATATGCCTGCTTAGGCCTTATGACACTACGTCTATGCCCTTCGGGCTTATACACCGAAAGCCCCTCGGGCTTCTATCGTGCCCAGTCAGTAGGAGTAACCCCTCAGGTATTCATTTCATAAATACGGGACAACCGTTTGATGGCCGGTACAGCTCATATCGAAGGCTACATGATTCGTAAGCACACATTGATCATATACAAGGTAAACAATTTATTGCATAGACAATTTTAGAATAACAACCCACCTGGTAAATCGATAGAAAAGGCACCCAAACGGGTCGGTAGGTCGAGGGCTCGACTCCTCAAACACCTACATTAAGTCCAGATGCTAAAATCAACATCTATTCTGACTTAAACGGAAATCACAATTATTCTTAGCCGAACTTGATCGACTAAGTTGTTCGTGAAGTCCTGTGGACGTTGGAACACTTAGACTCGGAACTATACTCGACCAAACCACATATGGGAGTTCACATAAAACTAAGGATTGACCAAGTCAAACACTCAACAAAACGAAAAGCAAGTCGATTACAGATTTTAACTGCAAAATCATATATTGAAAATAATAATCAATAATCACATGAAATTGGTTGGTCAGGTTTCCCTATGAATTATACAATGAAATTTAACCAAAATTACTCCTCCCAGTACTTAGAAAAACTACCAAGTTTCAGCCTCAAATTCAAAGTATGCTATTTTATAAACTTCGAGCAAGTTTATGGCAAAAACGAGCATCAATTAGCAACCAGATCAAATGAATGAATTAACCTTTGAAATTTTTATATAAGAAACCTCATAATGTACATAGCAGTGTGTAAAAATATCAACCCTAAACTCCTAACATGCGATTTAATAAAATTGCTACAACATTCAGCTATTTTCGAATTTTCAACATAACTAAACCCAAATGAACTACAAAAATTCCAATATTTACACAAAATGAAATATACCCCAAAACATGCACTCAAACCAAAAATCATAATTTTTCAGCATCAGACCAATGTTTAACATATAAAACAATTTCTGGAAAAAATACAAAATAATTTATTTACCTAAGCTAACAGAATCCAAAAATTATGAAAATTTAACACAACCTCTAAAACAGACAGGAGAAAATTATATTTGAATTTCAGAAATTTTCGAGCACTACACAATTAATTATGCAATTAACATGAACCTGACCAGAAATCATTCTAATTTATTAAAATAGCTAAAGACCTCTAAAATCATGAAATTTACACACCAGCTACATTTTCAAAAGAGGCAATTACCCTCAAAATTTCAAGGCAAACGGACCAACGAGAAATTTATGATAAGTTTGATATGAAATCAACCACTGTTCAATTTCGATAATTCACGTAAGACTCGATTCACGACGAAATCGTCCGAAGTCTTCGCCTTAGGACCAAGGACGATATAACGTTCCGATGCACAACGACTATATCATGAATCGACGAGGTCTCGTTCGATTTCACAGAATTGAAGAGTTCGTCCACATACATTCAACATATATTTAAATCTCATGAACACAAAATAACATAGGCATATTCATATGTACTCGATAACCACATTCAACACCCAACACAACATAAACGATATATAAAATTAAACGAGACGGGTCGAGCCTCGTACCGTTCTCGGGAATTGTTCGAAAAATAGGACGGGAGACACGAACGACAACGTGCGACTCACGAAGGGGAGGATGGTGACTCGATCGTCGAAAGCCAAGGTCCGCGGAGGAGCATTCGTCGCGAGGAGCTGCTGCTCGTGATCGTCACAGGGGTGCTCATCGTCGCTGCTGGTGGCCTGCCTGCGCATGGAAGGTCGCCGGAATCCCCTGCTGCTGCGGAGGAGCTCGTGGCGTTACTGAGGTCTCGTTGCAAGCTCGCGTTGGTGAGGGCCCGCTGCTGCTCGGTTGTTCTGCTGGCCGGACATATGGACTAACGGGACTGAAAACTCGGCGAAACGATGAAAGGGGCTGCTCGTACGGGTTCCATTGGCCGTGAACGGAACTCGGCTATTTGCTGTTCGCACACAGTTCGGGTTGGCCCAAGAAATCCCAATTGGCTGCTGCTTTTCGTGTACTGAAGCCGACTGTACGCTGCTCGGATGTTGATGAAGGGAGAGGAGATTAATGATGATCTGATGACGGAGAGGAAGAATATGTTCCGATCGATTTGAAGGCATAATTTTATTGACGAGAGCTAGAGATAGCGATAGCTTGAGGGTTGCAGGATTTTTGTGACAGAGAAAAAAAAAATAACGAGAGCTGCGGCTTCTCTCTTGTTCTCTATATGATATATGCGCGAGATAAAGGAGAGACTAGGGCAAAAGTCTTGATGCACAAGAAAACACACCCACAGCTGGGTAGGGGCGGACCGGGTCGGGTCGAGCTGGGGCCGGTTCGTGCATAGGCTCAAGGAACGAATCGGATCTCGGGCCCGACTAGACGTAAAATCAATTCGGTTCAGCTCAAAAATTTAAATCGTACGATAAAAATAAATAATCCGGATATTATTTATATTTATAATACACACAATTTATTATTAAAAAAAAAATAATACTATTAATAAAAATACAAATACACATTTTAATTAAATAATAATAACATTTAGACAATTAAGCATTTAATTACAATTTAGCAAATAAATAATATTTAGACAATTAGACATTTAATAATATTTATCATTCAATTAATAATAATAACAACAAATAAAGATAAATAATAATAATAATAATAATAATAATAATAAATAATTCTCAAATATTCCATAATCAAACGGGGCATTACATCTACACCCCGGATGAGAACCCAGACTAGATGAAGAAGATGAGGCTAATAAATGATACAATTCAGAATACAATTTTACTACAAGAAAATATCCAATATTAAAAATTCTCATATAAGAAAAATACAAATAATAATTGAAGTATGGTACTTTTAAAAAAAATCAATATCCTAAAATCATTGTTGTGATCGGTCAATTACCAAAAAGTTTTCTATAATCGACTCTCTGGGCAATGAATAAGGCCATAAGAGTTGGTCCTCTCCAAAGTTGGAGATACGATTTTTTCTCGATATCTATATGTTGAATAAAATTTATGTATTTTCGTTCACAAAAGTATCTATTATCTTTCAAATAGTGTTTTACATTATTAAATTTCATACAATACCTAGTTCTTTACATATCTGAGATGGGTATGGAGAGTAGTAGTTCGTGTCTATATATATATAATTGCAGGGTGAGCATTTAAGAAAACCTATTAAATTATACTTAGCTGACATTTCCCGCCTAAATACATTACTGTTTAATTATTTTTCATTTTTTATTATTTTTATTACAAAAACAGATCAGCTTTGGATTAATGTTGACTATTAAAATTGGCAACATATCTCATTGACTGCCTTCTTACATCTAGCTGTTACAAGTTGTTGAAAATCATTATAGAATTTTTTAACAATTTAATTAGTGGCCACATTTATCAAAAATCTTTTTTTTACTGTAAAATCCTTTTTATTTAATCAAATTATTTTTTTATATACATCATAAATTAATAAATATTAATGAAGAAAAAAAACTGAATAAATAACAAAAAATACAACACATTATAAAAACAAATTAAAAATAAAAAAGTATTTCACAAGCTCATTTTCCTTATAAGTGTATATATAATAAAGATCAACATATAATATACCATCAAATGAATTTTTTATATTTATCAAATTTAACAGTTCCAAATATGAAAATGGGGCGGGAAAAAACAATTAAAAAAATGATAATATTTAAGATAAATTTCCAAGCTTCAATATCCCATGATTTTTGCACATTTCATAACTGTTAAAATTCAACAGTAAATATGGCAGAGAATCTGAAATTTACGGTCAAACAAATAACAATTCTTTGTGGCAGTCATAGAATAAAGCATTATCTAGAATTTACGGTCAAACAAAGAACAATACTTTGTGGCAGTCAAAGAATAAAGCATTATCTAGAATTTATTTTTCAAACTTTAATATCCCAAGATTATTGCACATTTTATACTTATTGAAATTAAATAACAAATATGGCTGAAAATCAGAAAATGACGGCAAAAAAATTACAATTCTATTTGGTAGTCAAAACAAAAATATTATCTAGAAATATATTTCTAATATTCAGTCAATAAACATTTATCTGAAAGCAGTCTTGGCCACGTCGGCCACTCTGATCTTCAGCTGATGGTAACCAGAGCGGAGATCTATCTTGGAAAACACGCTGGCTCCCCTCAGCTGATCGAATAAATCCACTATCCTGGGAAGCGGATACTTGTTCTTCACCGTCAACCGGTTCAAATCCCGGTAGTCAATGCACATTCTCATCGATCCGTCCTTCTTCTTGACAAAGAGGACATATGCTCCCCAAGGTGAAACGCTCGGTCGGATGAAACCGAGACTCAACAGCTCCTGAATCTGAGCCTTCAACTCCTGAAGCTCCTTCGGCGCCATGCGATACGGTGCTTTCGACACTGGTCCCGCTCCAGGGACTAAGTCGATTGTGAACTCCGCCTGACGGTTAGGTGGTCCTCTCGGAAGCTGATCAGGAAAAACGTCCACAAAATCACGAACGACGGGTATATCTTCGGGTGACAGCTTCTCTGAAGACTCCCCAACGATGTTGACAAGAAATTCCTGACAATCCTCTCTCTGCATGTACTTCGTCGCCTTCGCCATGGAAATAACGTGCGGTAGGGTTCGAGACTTCGTCCCGAAGAACGTGATGCGGTCTCTCTCGGATAAGTGCAGCGTCACCTCCCGGTCACGACAACGGATGTCTGCGCGGTATCTCGTCAACCAATCCATGCCAAGAAACAGGTTGAAGTAATTCATATCGATCACAAACGCGTCTGCTGTTGGGATCTGTGAGGATCTCGTTATGTACAAGTCACGAATTCAATAACAAACGTAAACCTATGCGCAGCGGATCTAAAGGTTTGACGTAGAGAACTTACGGCTTAAAATTTATATAGATCTGGTTGACCACGAACGGTTGGCCGCAAATCATGTCTTGGGTTGCACGAACAAGATCAGATCAAAATCGATCAAACGGATGCAAATAGATAAAAACGAAACTTGCAGCCTGGGAGCTTTCGGCGGCGCGTGAGGGTGCGTAAGGCGTCGGACAGCTGCGATCTCGGCGGCGATGGAAAGCTCCCGTCGAGACGGTCGTCTGGGTATGCTGTACGTTTCAATCGGACTTCCGGTTAGTTCTGTAGGTCAAACTATATTTCGTCTCGGTTTACCTACAGATCTTGTATTGTATTACTCAATACACCCTTCTTCTACTTGTACCAGTGGAGCAACAAGAAGAAGATAAAACTCGAATGAGATCTAGAGAGAGAGAGAGAGAGAGGCGTGGGGCGTGTCTCGTTAGAATGAGATTGAGATTCTCTTCTCATGAGCTTAATGATGTATATATAGAGCTACAGTAGGGACCCTTAGGAGATTAGGAAAAGGGCTCTTTAATTAATTAGACTAACTGTGGGCCAAGCCCACTCCTCTAATTAATTAAATAATATTAATGGACCACCAACATTATATTATTGCACTCCCTTTTCCTAGCTCAAATTACATTTGAGACTCCAATAATAATTACTCGATTTACCTCCCCACGTTTAAGATATAATGTCCATTAATTAATTCGATTACTGACAATCAAGAATTAATTAATTTATTATTATTTCACCGAAGCTAGCGCTCGTTCATCACATTCTTATTATGCCGGAACTTAATCCACCTGCAGGGTTTAGCATAACAATCCTTCATGAACTCACTCCGGGGACATCATCAAACTAACGCACATGGTGACCATAAATATCCTAACAGCACATCATATATATAATAATATTACCCAAAACAGTAGGAATATTAATCTAGCAAACTGAACCTCACCCATGTGAATCAAAGTAATATATATTATATATATCTGCCTGTTTAATATCTTACGGGTTAAGAGAACGCCGTAATTAACCGAGGCCTAGTTCATTTACGACGATCAGTATAAAATGAACTTCTCCTCTATGGGATCCTGTTCAATACATAAATGTACTAGTGCAACTAATCAGTCAAGACAAACTGTACAGTTGACACTACAACCGTTCGGATGGGGTGTTCATGTCCATCTATGTTGTGAATAACTATTCTTGTTCGCAAGTGACTGATAGAGTGATCTTCGGTTCGCCCGATGACGACCCACCCTATCTAAGTGCATAACAACAGAACGTAGAACTTGTTTAATCTGACACGATTCTCATTCATAAAGGGAAAATGTGTAATAACTTGCAAAGTCAGCTTTCAGTATATAACACTAACATCTGCAACTAGAGTTCTGCCTCCGATATCGATACTAAGGTTCTTGGCCAGGGAACTCGTAACTATTCCTCCCCGATGCGAGGCTGATCTCGAGAGGGTCGACAGTACTCACTCCCTGGGCCCCTAAGGCTGATAAACATTTGGTCGAGACGAACGAATGCGTCGCCCCGGTATCGAATAAAGCGAAGACTGGAGTATTAAATAAGGATAGCATGCCAGACATGGTACCTGGCTGCTCTGCGGCCTGATCCTGGTCGAGTGCGTAAATATGCGCGGGTGCTCCACGCTGCTGCTGCTGTCCTGGGGGTCTCTTGGTTGGCTATCTCGGTGCGGGCTGTCTCTGGGCAGGCTGTCTCTGTGCTGGCTGTCTCTGAGCTGACTGGGGCTGTGGACAGTCTAAGCAGTTCATGATCAAGTGTCCTGAAGGGCGGCAGTGATAGCATATGTCCTGCACGGCTAGGCACTCCCCACGGTGTCGACGTCCGCAGGTAGCGCCAGCCGGCAGATCCTGTCGGGCTGGCTGGCCCGCCTGAGCTGGGCCCCTTTGTCCACGGTTCCCCTTATCATTGCGATCGTCCCACTTCCTATTGTTCTTTCCCTGAGCTGGCTGAGCAGGCAGAATGGCAGCTGGCTGTCTCTCGGCATCCCTTTGGATGTACGCCTCAATCTGCTGAGCTCGCTCAACAGTATCTGCGTACTCAAGATAACCATGACTGGCTACCAGCAATCGGATGTTACTCCTCAACCCATCCAGAAACTGGGTGGGTCGCTCTCTTCTCTTCGGTGTCCACCAGGTGTGGCGCAAATACACTCTGACGAGCGAACTCCCACTCGTACTCATCAACGGATCTGTCTCTCTGTCGAAGGGCACTCCCGGGCCATCCTCTGACGTATATGGCGAGGATAGAACTTGTCCTCCAGGAGTGTCTTAAGCCGGGCTCACGACATAGCCTCTCTCTCATCCTCGGTACGCAGGCTCCAATAGCCGTCCCACCACTCGCCTGCGGCGCCCTCAATGTGCAACTCAGCGCACGCAATCTTATGCTCCTCCGCCATCCCCATCACTCGAAAGATCCTCTCCATCTTACGGGTCCACTTGCCCACTGCTAGCGGGCCCTCCTCCCCATTGAAAACGGGTGGACTGTAAATGCGAAAACAACCGACTGCGACGACCTGATCGGACTCTGCTGGAGCCTGGGGATCTCGGCGAGGCGGTTGTAACGCCCCACTTTTATTTGCCGAAAATCAGAATAAATTTTTCAAATTATTTTCAATAAACACTTGAGGCGCTACTCCCTCTTTAAATCGAACTTCAATACTTAACCAATTTTTCAATATTCAATCATTCATCAAACTCAATTATCAATCATCAACAATAATACTTACTCCTAAAAACGAGTTTTCCAAAATTTCATAAATCATCACCCAAACCGGGTTCCAACAATATTCATAAATTCTAAGGAGCATCTCCTTAACATTATTCAGTCATAAAATCCGAAATTCATAAAAGAAATAATACCCCAAATTTATAATCATAAAACCAGTTCATAAATGCGGAAGCATAACAAATAATAAGGCCAGTCTTATAGACCGACCACCACTCGCTCTACTCCGCCGTCGTACCTGCCTTGCTTAACCTGAAACGTGAATTTCAGGTAGGGATGAGCACAGTTGGAAAAAGTAGTGCTCACCACTATGCAGTAAACATTATTCAGAATAATGAAACAGTAATCAATAATCAATAAGGTATGGTCTCAGCATGTATAAGAATCAATTAATTATCCCAATCTCCTATCAATCATATCAATAATAGACTCATGTGCACACCTATAGCAATAGACTACTGCCGAACTATATACCGAACGCCTTATCCAAGGCCTTACACGAGTGTCCGGCCAGTAGGAGTATCCCGCCAGCCAAGGCCTCACCTTGGTCTTACCAACGGGGTTGTCCGGCACAGGGACCTTTAACCCAGGACTTACGGCTCAAAATGTGTCCAGCACAGGGACCTTTAACCCAGGACTTACGGCTTAAAATAATAAGGAGACTACCCAACGGGTACGTTCTATAGATACGGGGATAACTGTTCGACGGCCGGTACAGCTCACATCAAAGGCTACATGTTCCACATGCATACTTGATCATACCAAAAATTTAAAACAGTAATAACATTTACAGCATAGACAATTTTACATTAAACACACCTGGATATTGCAAGAGGTATACCCAAAGACAGAGTTGAAGGAATTATGGCACAAGTTCAGCTTGAAGGAACTACAACAATTTATAAGGACCTATCACTGACTGCCCAAAACAAAACAACACATAAGGCACATATACTTAGCCGATATCATATCGACTAAGTGACTCGTGGATTCCTTGACCGAGTTAAGTACTTTGGAGTGACTACTAGACCTGGACACAACTCATATACCTCAAATATTTCACATAAAACATGCCAACATTAAATAAATCCTATCCGAACCTAACCAACCGATAACCGAACATTTATACTTCAAAATAAACAAAATTCAGAAACGAAAGCTAGACTCATCCAATCAACCTGAAACTTTACCACATTATAAAGCACATAAAAACACATAAACTCACCAAGTTTCAGCCCTAAATTCATCCGGAAACATTTTTAAATAATTTTAAGCAAAACAGCGTCAAAACCGGCATATAATAGTTCGCATAGCTACACTTCGAGTTTCAGTCTGAAATTTTTACACAACCTAAACCATCATAAAATAACAGGTTCCTGAAAGTTTCAGCTCAAAAATCCAAGTGTACAATTTTTAATAAATTTTACAAGTTTCTGCTCAGAAACCGTTTTAAGCATTCGGACTCGAAAAACACAGAAATAAATTCAGGGGCTTGGCACACACATTGAACATACTCAGAGGCAAAACATATCAAAATTGCAGCTCAAACGGATGAGAACTCGATTTATGGTGAATTTATTACGATTCAGCAGCATGCTCGGTTTAGAAAAATCTTAACTCTCAAAATACAACTGGAAATGACTTCAAACCAAATCTAAGAGATCAAGGACAACTCCAAGTACCTATAACTCTAGGATTTCCACGAAACGAACCACATATATTCAGTTTGACAATTATTCAAAGTGACGGCAATCATTTTGATATCCAAATTGCGAATATAAAATAAAATTCATACAATTACTCAACTAAGGCACGAATTTAAATTCACGAAGCACGTCTAACACCCATTTCACATAAACGAACACATAAAATAATATATAGAATTTAAGCGAGACGGGCCGAGCCTTGTACCGTTCTCGAGGTTCGTTCGAAAAACGGAAACGAGGAAACGAACGGGTGCAACCGCACGGGTACTCGGGCTCGACGGCGGACTCACGTGAATAGATACTGGTGGTGGACGGCAACAAGGCTTCGTCGAATGGCTGAGCGGGGCTTCCGACGACGAACGAGTTGCTGCTCGACGAACGGATTCTCGGTACCGGCAACTTGCAGCCGTTCGTGGAGACGGCTTGCTTGAACGGACAACGATGTAATGGGTTGCTGTGATGATCGGACAGAAGCCGGGGACGAGCCGTCGTGTACCGTTTTCACGTAAGGTACTATGCTGCTGCTCGGTGGACTCGTCTTTATCGCGAAGGTCGCGGGAGGTTGCAAGCTCGCGGAGGTCGGAACGGCTCCTGCTCGGGGCAGATGGAGCTCGCCGGAAGTTGCTGCGATGAAGGTAATGAACTCGCCAGAATAGTTTCGCGTGGACATCAGCGGGTGGAAGAGGTCGGCGGCGACGGGCCTGTTCTCGTTGGCAGCGGGTCGCAGCGGAGCTTCACGGCGTCTGGTGGTTCGCGGCGGAGCAGGGCTGCAACAGGTCGCCGGCGGTAATGGTTGCAGCGGCGGAGGACGGCAGTTCGCGAGTAAGGGTCGTCGCTGGTCCGCGCGAACAGGGAGGGCCGCCGGAATATCTTCGTGGGGGGGGCTCGCGATCTGTTGGTGATGGCGCGCTGGTGGCGACTACGGCTCCCGCGAGGAAGAAGGCGGAGGAGTTGGTGTGAGGTTGATGATGGGTGATGATCTGATGATGGCCTGCGATAGTGGTGAAGGAGATGAGGGCCAGAGGGAGATATGAGTTGAGAGGATGAAGACGATGGAAAAAAAAAATCGATCGCGACAGAAGAAAAGTATAAGGGCTGCGGTGATGCTGAGGGTTTCTCCCAAAATCTGATGTGAATATAAATAGGGCCGAGGGTTTCTCAATTTCCAAGACACATAACACACACTCACACGCAAATAAGGGAAACCGGGTCTGGTCGGTTCATATGGGCCGGATTATCGGGCTCGCGGGTTCGGTTCAACGAAACGAATCGGCTCTCGGGCCCGAGTATGTAGAAGTAATACAGTTCTCTCGGGCCCGATTAAATCGCACAAATAAATAAACAAACCAAATATATATATAATATATTTATAATACACACAATTAAATTTTAAAATAATAATAATAGTAGTAAAAACACAAATACACATTTTAAATAAATTAATAACACCTAGACAATTAATTAATATTTAGACAATTAAGCAATATTAGACAATTAATAATTTATAGCATTCACTAGTAATAACAACAATTAAAGATAACTAATAATAATAATAATAATAATAATAATAATAATAATAATAATAATAATAAATAATTCTAAAAAATTCAACAATCAAACGGGGCATTACAATCTATCCTTCTTAAAACATTTCCATCCTCGGAAATGCGAAAGAACACACATCTAAAAGGAACGTCAGACTCGAAAGGGAATTTCCAATCACGAGGTCCGGCATCACTCTCCGGAACTCGATTCCGTTCCCATGAGTCCTATCGCCTTCTACTCGAAGGCACGTACTCACATACAGGAACCAGTCTGACTCGCCCTATGCTCATATGTTTACCTTCTTGCTTAGGAGGGTGATCAGTCCTGCCCGAGCTCAGGCGTACATCTTTCTTGCAAGGGACCCAGTTCGGTTTAGCCTATACTCATGAGTATCAACGACTTGCTTCGTACCTAACAACACACAAGACCTCAACAGGTCGTTCGGTGTATTGTCAGCATACCCCGACTATCCACCATCAAGGTGGTCACGTGACGCCAAGTTTCAGTCTCGTGACCGAGTCACACTGATAACTTGCTCACGATTTCATCACAGACCGTGCGTCTCCATCTGAGACCACCACACGGTACCACATACATAAAACATGACACCATCAAGCTCACGTTCTCATGATATCGACTCCACGAGTCGAACGCAACCCTTATGCATAAACATAAGGTTTGACCCAAAGCAACACAACATTCCCAATTTGCCGACTCGAGAAACTCTCAAGTAAAGCATAGGGACTTATCGACTACTCTCCTTAATCAAAAATCATCGATTAAGGATTTACACACATTTAGTGGGACTTGGAGCTCTCGTTTCAAAGTTCGAATGAAAGGGGGTTCAAAAAGGATAACTAAGTATTTGAGCATGAAACGGTTTCAACAGTTCAGTAAAACATCGATGGCAGGCCGTATACGCTGGTCTGGGGAGTTTGTGCGTACGGTGATGGCGGCTGCAGTTCGCATGCCAGTCAACGGTCGGCCGCGCGCAAGCCTCCCATCTCTCAGCATGGTCGTGCGTGCTCGGCCACCACTTCGCGTGGCTACACTCAACCAGGGTCGGGGTTTGGTCCAGGTTTCCACAGGAAATTACAATTCAAGGCTACCAAAAAGGAATGGTTTTACCGAATTTCAAAAATTTTGGGATCAACAAAACAATTTATGTATCAGGCATTTCACAAATTTCAAAGTTTCAAAAGGTCATAAAAATAGCAAGGTGAAAGCTCGAGTTCCAAGTCCACCAACTTCCTAACACAACAAAACGCAATATGGCACAAATCTAAAGATACGCGAAATCTCAAAAGAACTCTCATGGCGATTTTCTCTAAGTCAGTGGCTTCTGCCGAGTCATTAAATAGATAGCTCGCTTCAGCTCTTCCAACTAACAACGTCGGCCGACACGTCAGCTCTTCCTCGGGTAGCCAATCGGGCCAGCTGTCCTAAACGAGCGCAACTCACTTCCCAATCTTCACACTTTGGAATTTGAACGCGAAGTTCCTCTCGGAATTTCGAAAGGAGGAAAAGAACAACAAATTTTCCCGATGAACAAAATTCAGAATAAGGACGGATCCGCACTACGCGATGTGCTTGCTCCAGACTCGTCTATCCTCCTTAAAAGATTTCTGCATAATCCTTTAAGGTGGAAAAACACTCCATCTCGATAACAGCATGAGATAACACAAAAGCACAAATAGGCAGCGAGCTCGGCTCATCAAGCACATTCATTAAGTCCAGATGCTATAATCAACATCTACTTTGACTTAAACGGAATTCACATTTATACTCAGCCGAACTTAATTCGACTAAGGTGTTCGTGAAGTCCTGTAGACGTTGGAACCCTTAAACTCGACATTAAGACTCAACAAAATACACATGGGAGTTCACATAATCTAAAACAAACATTGACCAAGTCAACCCCTTAAAGAAACCGAAAACGAGTCTATTCGTTGTTTTAATTGCAAAAGCCATATATTTAAAATACTAAATTTAAATCACAAAAATGAGTTGATCAGGTTATCATACGAATTTAAGTCTGAAATTTTAACCAAAATTTCACCTCCCAGATTTAAGCAAAATCACCAATTTTTAGCCCCAAACTCAAAGCATGCTATTTTATAAAAACCGAGCAAGTTTATGGTAGAAACGAGCATATAACCGCAACCAGATCAAATGAATGAATTTAGTCATGAAAATTTTACACAAGTAGTAACAACATTAGAACAGCAACATATAAAATTTTCAGTAATTAACATCAAGTATCCGAATTTTAGAAAATTAAAACTAGTTTCTGCTGATTTCGAATTTTCAATAAGACCGAACCAAAATAAGTCCAAATAAATCCCATCTTTTAACATAATGAAAATATACGTAAAATATGCAGTTCAACCAAGTTTCATAATTTCCCAGCCACATATCAATTTACTAAAATTAATTTACGAATCAACAGAATTCATCAAATAATTTTTACACATAGCAAATGATGTTCAAAAATTCTAAAAATGTTACACCACATATAAAACATACAGGAAGACAACATACTCAAATTTCAAAATTTTTAGAACACAACTCAATTTAATAGGCATTTAACAAGATTCTGCTCAGAATTTCATACAATTATTAAAAATAGCTATACTTATCATTTTATTCCGAAATTTTTACACAACATGCATCTCCAATAGAGGGACGAGCACACAAAATTTCACAGCAATAAGAGCATCATACAATTTATCATAATTTATATACTAAAACAGCGACTAGACAATTTCATTAATTCATAACCGACTCATTTTACTACGACTCCGTCCGAAGTCTTCACTATAAGAATAAGGACAATACGAGTTCCAACCCACAGCGACTCTATCACGATTTGACGAGGTCTCGTTCGATTTCTCAAAATCGAGGAGATCGTCTACATATATACAACATATATATTTAAACCGATTTCAATCTCATAAATACGAAATTAACATAGGCATATTCACATCTGATGGTCTTAATAATCATGGTTACAGACCTCCGAATATCTCACACTTGAGATTTCTTCAGTTGTCTGCTCACTTCGTTTAAGCCTTCTCCTTTCGAGATAGTTCGCGAATGGTCCTCTTCCGAAGACACCAAAATAAATCGAGGGGATTGTTATACACAGGACTCAGCTCGATAACATTATATCAAATTTCTAAACAAACAAAACCTCAAGTTAGAACTTAACTCTATATCGCTAGAGTTTAAATTCATACAACTAAGGTTCGCCAATTATCTAGAGTTCCAGAAGGTTTAAAAGTAGGAGGATAAATTCCTAAGCCCCAGTTTACATCTCATTATATCATCTCATAAATCAGGTAACTCATAATCGATTCAAAATTTCATATGAAGCTCATACCTGAGTTGGCGAGGCACGACGGAAGCGAGTGGTCATAACTTACATCACATATTTTCACAGAGTTCACATAATTCAAGTATACCAGTCTACAGAAATGGAGACTGGCTCTGATACCAAACTGTAACGCCCCACTTTTATTTGCCGAGAATCAGAATAAATTTTTCAAATTATTTTCAATAAACACTTGAGACATAATTCAAGTATACCAGTCTACAGAAACGCAGACTGGCTCTTATACCAAACTGTAACGCCCCACTTTTATTTACCGAAAATCAGAATAAATTTTTCAAATTATTTTCAATAAACGCTTGAGGCGCTACTCCCTCTTTAAATCGAACTTCAATACTTAACCAATTTTTCAATATTCAATCATTCATCAAACTCAATTATCAATCATCAACAATAATACTTACTCCCAAAAACGAGTTTTCTAAAATTTCATAAATCATCACCCAAACCGGGTTCCAACAATATTCATAAATTCTAAGGAGCATCTCCTTAACATTATTCAGTTATAAAATCCGAAATTCATAAAAGAAATAATACCCCAAATTTATAATCATAAAACCAGTTCATAAATGCGGAAGCATAACAAATAATAAGGCCAGTCTTATAGACCAACCACCACTCGCTCTACTCCGCCGTCGTACCTGTCTTACTTAACCTGAAACGTGAATTTCAGGTGGGGATGAGCACAGTTGGAAAAAGTAGTGCTCACCACTATGCAGTAAACATTATTCACAATAATGAAACAGTAATCAATAATCAATAAGGTATGGTCTCAGCATGTATAAGAATCAATTAATTATCCCAATCTCCCATCAATCATATCAATAATAGACGCATGTGCACACCTATAGCAATAGACTACTGCCGAACTATATACCGAACGCCTTATCCAAGGCCTTACAACGAGTGTCCGGCTAGTAGGAGTATCCCGCCAGCCAAGGCCTCACCTTGGTCTTACCAACGGGGTTGTCCAGCACAGGGACCTTTAACCCAGGGCTTACGGCTCAAAATGTGTCCAGCACAGGGACCTTTAACCCAGGACTTACGGCTCAAAATGTGTCCAGCACAGGGACCTTTAACCCAGGACTTACGGCTCAAAATGTGTCCAGCACAAGGACCTTTAACCCCGGACTTACGGCTCAAAATAATAAGGAGACTACCCAACGGGTACGTTCTATAGATACGGGGATAACCGTTCGACGGCCGGTACAGCTCACATCAAAGGCTACATGTTCCACATGCATACTTGATCATACCAAAAATTTAAAACAGTAATAACATTTACAGCATAGACAATTTTACATTAAACCCACCTGGATATTGCAAGAGGTATACCCAAAGACAGAGTTGAAGGAATTATGGCACAAGTTCAGCTTGAAGGACCTACAACAATTTATAAGGACCTATCACTGACTGCCCAAAATAAAACAACACATAAGGCACATATACTTAGCCGATATCATATCGACTAAGTAACTCGTGGATTTCTTGACCGAGTTAAGTACTTTGGAGTGACTACTAGACCTGGACACAACTCATATACCTTAAATATTTCACATAAAACATGCCAACATTAAATAAATCCTATCCGAACCTAACCAACCGATAACCGAACATTTATACTTCAAAATAAACAAAATTCAGAAATGAAAGCTAGACTCATTTAATCAACCTGAAAGTTTACCACATTATAAATCACATAAAAACACATAAACTCACCAAGTTTCAGCCCTAAATTCATCCGGGAACATTTTTAAATAATTTTAAGAAAAACAGCGTCAAAACCGGCATATAATAGTTCGCATAGCTACACTTCGAGTTTCAGTCTGATATTTTTACACAACCTAAACCATCATTAAATAACAGGTTCCTGAAAGTTTCAGCTCAAAAATCAAAGTGTATGATTTTTAATGAATTTTACAAATTTCTGCTCAGAAACCGTTTTCAGCAGTCGGACTCGAAAAACACAGAAATAATTCCAGGGGCTTGGCACACACATTGAACATACTCACAGGCACAACATATCAAAATTTCAGCTCAAACGGATAAGAACTCGATTTATGGTGAATTTATTACGATTCAGCAGCATGCTCGGTTTAGAAAAATCTTAACTCTCAAAATACAACTGGAAATGACTTCAAACCAAATCTAACAGATCAAGGACAACTCCAAGTACCTATAACTCCAGGATTTCCACGAAACGAACCACATATATTCAGTTTGACAATTATTCAAAGTGACGGCAATCATTTTGATATCCAATTTGCGAATATAAAATAAAATTCATACAATTACTCAACTAAGGCACGAATTTAAATTCACGAAGCACGTCTAACACCCATTTCACATAAACGAACACATAAAATAATATATAGAATTTAAGCGAGACGGGTCGAGCCTTGTACCGTTCTCGAGGTTCGTTCGAAAAACGGAAACGAGGAAACGAGGAAACGAACGGGTGCAACCGCACGGGTACTCGGGCTCGACGGCGGACTCACGTGAATAGAGGCTGGTGGTGGGCGCGGCAACAAGGCTTCGTCGAACGGCTGAGCGGGGCTTCCGACGACGAACGAGTTGCTGCTCGACGAACGGATTCTCGGTACCGGCAACTTGCAGCCGTTCGTGGAGACGGCTTGGTTGAACGGACAACGATGTAATGGGTTGCTGTGATGATCGGACAGAAGCCGGGGACGAGCCGTCGTGTACCATTTTCACGTAAGGTACTATGTTGCTGCTCGGCGGACTCGTCTTTATCGCTAAGGTCGCCGGAGGTTGCAAGCTCGCGGAGGTCGGAACGGCTCCTGCTCGGGGCAGATGGAGCTCGCCGGAAGTTGCTGCGATGAAGGTAATGAACTCGCCAGAATAGTTTCGCGTGGACATCAGCGGGTGGAAGAGGTCGGCGGCGACGGGCCTGTTCTCGTTGGCAGCAGGTCGCAGCGGAGCTTCACGGCGTCTGGTGGTTCGCGGCGGAGCAGGGCTGCAACAGGTCGCCGGCGGTAATGGTTGCAGCGGCGGAGGACGGCAGTTCGCGAGTAAGGGTCGTCGCTGGTCCGCGCGAACAGGGAGGGCCGCCGGAATAGCTTCGTGGGGGGGCTCACGATCTGTTGGTGATGGCGCGCTGGTGGCGACTACGGCTCCCGCGAGGAAGAAGGCGGAGGAGTTGGTGTGAGGTTGATGATGGGTGATGATCTGATGATGGCCTGCGATAGTGGTGAAGGAGATGAGGGCCAGAGGGAGATATGAGTTGAGAGGATGAAGACGATGGAAAAAAAAAAAATCGATCGCGACAGAAGAAAAATATAAGGGCTGCGGTGATGCTGAGGGTTTCTCCCAAAATCTGATGTGAATATAAATAGGGCCGAGGGTTTCTCAATTTCCAAGACACATAACACACACTCACACGCAAATAAGGGAAACCGGGTCTGGTCGGTTCATATGGGCCGGATTATCGGGCTCGCGGGTTCGGTTCAACGAAACGAATCGGCTCTCGGGTCCGACTATGTAGAAGTAATACAGTTCTCTCGGGCCCGATTAAATCGCACAAATAAATAAACAAACCAAATATATATATAATATATTTATAATACACACAATTAAATTTTAAAATAATAATAATATTAGTAAAAACACAAATACACATTTTAAATAAATTAATAACACCTAGACAATTAATTAATATTTAGACAATTAAGCAATATTAGACAATTAATAATTTATAGCATTCACTAGTAATAACAACAATTAAAGATAACTAATAATAATAATAATAATAATAAATAATTCTCAAAAATTCAACAATCAAACGGGGCATTACAGCGGTATTCTGAAATTCTGGAAACGCTTGAATTGATTAGTATAGTCGATTAAGAAATAGCCATACTACTCTTGTAATAATAAAAGATAAATAAGATCCGAAAACACCTAGCTTGGCTAGAGTTCCAGTATACTTAAACTTTCTATGTTCTGGCTCATAATGGAGTTCTGACTTAGTCTAGAGTCCTTGGACTTAGCTGTTCTAGAGTTCTGCCTACAGTTCTCGTCTTAGCTTATCTTTCTAGAGTTCTCCCTCTAGAGTTCTTTCTTTCTTATAGGAGGATAGTTATCTAGGCCCCATACTTGAACTTTGAACAAGCACTTGCAAAACTTAAATTGAGTCAGGAGACTTACCTCGGAGTCGGTGCGGGATGAGCATGGCGTGGTTATGCTTTTTTTTTTTTCTTTTTCTAAACTTCAAAAGTATACAGAAACGCACTCTGCGCTCTGATACCAGCTTCTGTGGCACCCCGCCTTACTAGCTTTGAAAAATCAGAGTAAAATTTTCGCTTTTGTTTTCGAAAGGTGGTGGGAGCTTGGTTTTCGAAAATACTAACTTGTTGCGGGATGTCACAGATAAAAACTTTACTTAACTTGCTCACAGACATAATAAAACATGCAACCAAACTATCCGCTATGGATATGGAATCATACATGCCATGTCTGATCTCGCACAGTCTAAAGTCTGCTAGCGGAAGCATCCGAAATACAGAAATACATAAAGTACATGCATACATATCTGAATGAATACATGATCATAAAAATAAGGACATAAAATGTGCGTAAAAATGTCCTCGCCGTCATGACCACGCTTCATCACGCATATCTCACCCGGCACGCTCGACTCCGTCTTCTGAAAAACACAATGGGGGCGTGAGCAAACCACTATGCTCCGCAAAGACCAGTACTGAATAAGACATCATGTATAATAACGTGTCATGAACATAAATATATAAGAGCTGAACTGTAAACTTTTCTTTTCTTTCTTTACTGTGGTCAAAAGACCCTCGGCCTCGGTCGCTCGTGTGCACAGCCCGATGGGATATTAAGGCCCTCGGCCTCCACCGGTACCAGGTAAAACTCGGAAGGCCCTTAGGTCGGCCAATCACCTGGGAGAACTAACTGTCTCGAACATACCTATGCCATGGTACAAATATTATATATAATGTGGAATCCAGTACATGACCCCCACCTGATAACCAAACTGACGCAAGTGCTAAAACTCGAGTAGCGGTCGGAGGCTCGACTCTCCTAAGGCTACATAAACATTTAAGCAAAATAATGCTAAGTATAATGCTCATAAATATTTATTTATATGCTAATATGCTCGGTTTATTATATTCTAAGACTAGACTGGCTCAGCTCGAAAAAATACTAAAATTCCGAAAGAAGACTCGGACCGGAAGTCACGAATCAAAACGGACTCAAACTGTCGGTTGAACCGGCCGGTTCGCTCGGTCAAGGTGCTGCTGGACTTGGCTAGGCGCGCTGGGTGCGCACGGGCACGGCCAGAGGGTGCTGGCATGGCCCTGGCACGGTTGGTGCCTCACGGGTGCACGCTGGGCATGACCGAGACTCGACTGAGGCCCTATCGTGCGGCTGGACGCGGTGATGAAGTATCGTGTGTTTTCCCAACTCGATTGTCTCGAACTAAGCTTTGCCACGGCTTATCCTTCGACGATAGGTGTGGACGACTCGGTTATTAGCCTTATCTTCTCACGATTTTGAGATGGTTCGGGTCTTAGCCTAGCCAACTCGGTTTGTATGATAAAACTCTCATGAATTCTAAACACACGGTTTTGTTCTCACGAACGATTTTCCATTACTTTTTAATCCTCCATTTCGAATGACATACGGGTGGTATTTATAGATACCAATTAGATCTAATCCTAGTCTAAGAAGAACTCCTAATGCAAGTAAACAAATAAAGTCCTAAGGAAAGCAAATACCTAGTAAATATAGACTTACCTAAACTACTTAGGCACATGCCTTTTATTCCAAATCCTAACCAAACTATTATTCCTAAGCTACTAAGGGAAATCGGCCCTTAGGCCTTCTAGAAGGATAGCGCGCCCTCGCGCGCCTCAACCCTAGCCGTCATGGCTAATCCTTGTCCTTCGAGGTCATGGCCTCCTCCTTCGCCCCACGCGTCGCACGCGTCTATTGCCTTGCGCCTCAAGTCTCGTGGATTCTCTTCGGTCGGTGCGCTATGCCTAATCCCTCGAGGACTCGCGCCAATCATCTCTCGCGCATATCGCGCGTTATCGCCCGCACTTCGCTTGGACCCCTTTACCTCGAGCGCGTGCTTGCACCTGCTCGACTCGTCGACCCTGTCGACCCTTCCCATTAGCGCACCCGCGCCCTCGCCATCACAGCCCTGCTCGACCAGCGCCTTGTGCGTGACTCCCGTCATCGCGTCCCGTTCGTACCCGCTTGTCGAGCCCCTCACATCGTTCCAACCCACTTTCACACCCGCGCCACTGCTGCCGCCCTATGTGCACGCTTTCCACCCTTCATCCTCCCCTCGTGCTCCTTCGGCCTTAGCGCGCATGCGTTGCTTGCGCCGGTCTCTTGCGCAAGCCCTACACCATTCGTCCACTCCTCCGGGCTCAATTCTCTCGCTCCCATCGTCGGCCCAATACTCAGCCATACGCGTATCACCTGCCTTGTAACCTCTCCGGGCCCTCTTAGCACGGTCTCGGTACACATCCCAGGCTCTTGCGCGCTTCCTTTGTCGGCTTATGCGCGTCTCGTCCTCGGGCTCGGATGGGTCGATGACCACATCCTCATCATTCCATCCCCCTTTGAGTTTGACCTTGTCCTCAAGGAGAATGAATTGAAGACTCTTCAATTAGACCGGCTCCGTTCCTTCGTCGTTAGTACATAACTTGATCCTCTTCTTGGCCCTTTTGAACTCCATCGTTCCCGTTTTGAAATTGGTAACTATGGGCCCTAGCGTCTCTAACCATTGGACTCCTAACACCACTTCGGGTCCTCCAAGATCTAACGCAAACAAATCCACCTTTAGCGCTTCACCTTGCACTTGTATCAGGACATCTTTGTATAGCTCCGAACTCCAAAGCTCTTCGCCGTTTGCAACCCGTACTTCAAATGGTACAACCCCGGTCATTGGAATCTCAAGCCTTGTGGTGAAGTCCAAGCAAATAAAATTGAGTGTCGACCCACTGTCGACCAACACATCGACTTTTTGTCCCATAATCTCAGCCTCGAACCTCATCATCTTAGGTCCTTTTTCGGTTTTGACCATGTGCAGCAACTCCAACTGTGGATTCAAGTACAAGTTCCTTCCTTCCTCGCGTTCTTCCTCGGGCTCGCATGTATCGAGTAGGTAAACCTCTTTACCTTTGCATCGATGCCCGGGCGTGAACGGTTCATTGCACGAGAAGCATAGACCCTTCTCGCGCCTCCTTTGCATGTCTTCGGGACTTACACGTTGCATGTAATTCAGTGGTTGAACCACCTCGATCACTTTTGCGTCCTCGATCAGCGTCGGTGGATCCGCGACCGTACTCGCGCGCCGTGTCTCAACGCGTCCGTCTCCTCGACTCGTCTTGCAGATCGCAATCAGATGGTCCTCTCGCATTCGTGCCGACTTCATGGCAGCTCGCATTGACCTCGGTCGATCTAATCGAACCTCGGCAGCCAGCTCGGGTGTGAGCCACCCACAAACGCACCAACCAGTGCACTCTCGGGCCAATCGCGCACCCGACTAGCAATGCGCTCGAACTCTTTTTGGTAATCACGAAGACTACCATCTTGACGTATACGAGTGAGTGCCTCGTCGTAGTCATGGTATTGGCTCGAGCCAAAGCGCGTAATGATCTCCTTCTCGAAATCTCTCCAATGTACCCGCATACCCATGCCTTTGTAGACGTGCAAGATCCATTGCCACCATACGTTCGCCTCACCATCGAGATAGTAGGCTGCGATTTTAACTCGATCAGATTTGGGAACATCATTGATCTCGAAGTATTGAGTAGCTCGACTCAACCATGCGTCCGGGTCGGTCTCCGTGAACGTCGACATGGTTAGCCTCGGCTTCTCGACCTTTCTCTCCTCGCGTCGACCAGACGCTCGTGTCCTCCTCGATCGTCGATCATGGTCCTCGTGGTCGGACTCGGAACTGCTCGATCGAGCTGTGGTCGAACACGACCTATGACTTCCTCGCGGTCGTCGTGTAGCTCGAGCAAGTTGTGCCGCAAGATCGTGCACCATGAGCTCCAACTTCGCAAAATTCTCATTGGCTGCATGTTGTCCATCACCAAGGGATCTCATGCTCTCCTC